ATGCATGCATTCCGAAGAAGACAGAGCAAATAGGCCTGAGCATGTTTCGAAGCCCGGCCCACATGTGCAAGGGCCAGACAAATCAAAATGTGACCGCCAAAACAAAGGATAGCGCTGAAAACGCCGCTCAAAATAAGAGAGCGGCAATACAATTTTCTGTTTTTGAGACTTCCTGACGTATGAAGGTCTCTTTAGGATTTGTTCGGTTCTTGTACACGTGGAGTGGCCTCCGGGCCATGCCTAAGTCCATTTGTCCTGTCATCTTCAGAATACGTGTATCCAGCTTCACTAGGTGACTTCTTCTACCGGCTAGAAAGTCTCGGGATCCTACAGCCACAACAATTATCCAGTGAGATAATTATTATACCTTGGTTTTTAAATGCTTGCTTTGACGGAATATGCTTTTGCTTCTGGCTTGCCTTAGATTTTGGGCTGGAATTTGGGCTTTATCTGTAATACATATAAGTTTATTTAAGTGTACTTTCATAGGTGACAGGCAGGAATGAATCGTGAACAGAAATCACGTGTGTGAAGTCGACGAAGAGCCTCCCTCCGTTTGATATCTTCAACTAACCCCATGTGTATGCATTTCCTATGCTTCCTAATAGCAATGCCTAATAAAGCGTCTGCAACTAACTTTCTCTTGGAGTCTAAAATCTGGGGATCAAAAACCGCATCTACATATTACGTCAGGAGCAATAATATGGGAAAATGATGCGGAATATATGAAGAAACTAAGGTCACTTGCTGCAATGTATAGTTCATGCTTAAGTGCTATATCGCTACAATTGCGCTTTCAACTTTAAAACATTTTGATTACATATATAGCCATTCCCTTTTGACAGCAACACAGATTTTCACCTTCATTATCCTGCATTTTAAAATTAGAAAGCCTTTTGTTTGTTAAAATGGGTTGTGATTTTAAAAACTATATATTGATTTTTCTTCTTAATTGCATTTGTTTAACATTTTGAATTTAGGCCAAGCATGCGACTACTCTTTTAAAACTGTGTCCTTTATTTGAGACTAAAAGTTTGATTATGTTCCTTGGTTTCTTGCCTTTTGCGTGTCTTATCGGTGTCGTATTTTCAAAGCCGCAGGATCCGACCTTACGAGCTCATGACAGAGTATCTGTGATGTTGCTTTATTTTCCTCTAGAAATTGAATGACCCCTTGGTGGGACTGGATGAACTTACTTCGGGTCACTCTCCCTCCACAACTCGAAAGGAGGGTGAGAAACTTTTGGCGTAATGCTAACTATTTCGCGCATATTTGTTTAGTCAACTGGTTGATAAAATGGACTTGGACAATGATGGATTTATCTCAGAAGATGAAATGAGAATGTGGTTGAAAAGTGTGGCATCTAAATACGTTGATCAGGATGTCAGTAGAACATTTGATGAGTATCGCAATGAATTCAAGACGGACTATGTTACTTTTGAGCAACACAAAAATAAAACATCTGACGACTATGAGGAAGATGGAGAATCGGATGGTAACTTGTTAGGTTCCTTCGGCATAGTTAACTTGCTTAGATGGCGAGCTTCAACAAACTCTTGTTCGTGATAAAAGGCGTTTTGAGAAGGCTGATGCAGATGGTGATGGGAAGCTTACAAAGGAAGAGTTTGCAGCCTTTCTGCATCCAGAAGAATTTGAACACATGAGAGATATTGTGATCGCCGTAAGTTAAAATGTTAGATTTGAGGTGCATGGATTTCGATTAGATTCTCAATTCAACTATCGTATGGCATTAGCCAGAACTTATGCTTATTTGTGCTTATAATTTGGTCCTACTAGTCTACTTCGATGAGCTGACCATCAATCCTCAAAGTCAATGTCTTTATTTACGATCAAAGCTGATTTTATGGTTTTATGCGAATATATTGGTAGTGTCCATTTACGGCTTGATTTCTTTAGAACTTCTTCGCTAACTAGTCTCAGCTTATAAGTCAATGACTTAATCTAGGCTTGGCTTTAGGAAACTCTTGAAGATCTTGATTCAAATAAAGACGGTCTTATCGATTTGGAGGAATATACCAGTGAGTCAAATATCGTTTGCTGCTAACTTCATATTTATCACTTTGGCGTAGAGAGTACCTCGAGTAAAAAGTGCTAGCTTAACACGTTTTGGCCGTTTGCTTCCGTTACTTTGTGTTGATTAATAAAGGCTGAGTTTTAAGTGGATTTGACAAACGATTTATCACTGGCGAACTCTGCTGTTTTTACTTGCCTCCATTGCCACGTGTCCTGTGGGGGTCATGGGCGAACATTTCTTGTGTAGTTTTAATGTGAGCGCGAAGTGTTGACAAGCACGGGCCAATTGGCTGCACAAATAGTGGTGAAGGTGCATAGCCGCACTACGGCTACTTCCGCTTGCCTTGTTGATGCGCGTGATCGATGTCTTTGTAACTACTGAAAGGGTTGTATTCCTTCATTAGATAGATGGGTGCCAGAACCTATTGAATACTTGGAGAAACTCATCACATTAATGTGAAGTGGTAGATAGCTAAGTCGGACTTGGTTGAGTATTTCTTGTTTAAAAGTTCTGGTGTCGTTTTTTTGTAATAATTTGTGAGGATTTTGGTCTCAAACAGAAACTCGTGATTAGGTCTTTGCTTCTTTCAACCGATGCTAGCGCTTCATCAGCGCCCTCATGGAACTCATTTCGTTCTCACTGTCACTATTTACCTAAGGTTTGATTTTTTACCATCTTCGGCAATCACAAGCATTTGTTGTTTATCTTCCCTATTTCTCATCTTACCAACAGGAGACATGTGGGTTGATGATTCTCAGTCTCCTCCAGAATGGGTAAGGACGGAGCAGCAGCAGTTTAGGGAGGCTCGCGATAAAAATAAGGATGGTTTCCTCGATCGTGAGGAAGTTTATGCCTGGCTTTTCCCTGCTGACTATGATCACATCGAATCCGAACTGAAGCACCTCATGTCGGAGACTGACGATGACCAGGTTTTCGTTCTTTTTACATTCGAGTCTACATTTGCTTATCTTGACTGTTATCTGTTTGAGAACTTTTGAAATAGCAGTTTAGGGGAGTGTAGGGCTGTCTATAAGACGAGCATATCTGACCGCAGATTTCGATCTTCAAACGAGCTTGTTGATCGTGGTGTTTCTTCTTCGTTTTACTTCTTATCTGAGCAAATGATTCGAATATCCCAAATGCTAACAATGGTTGCAACAATGACCGCATGAATTTACTTGATATGTGATGGTTTCGGTATTACTAGCAGTCAGCTACGTTTTTGTTTACGACTTAAGTGGCCTGTGTTCACGTCTATTTAAGTGGAAGTGTAAATGTTGTTTCCGTGCCCTTTGTAGGATGGAAAGTTGTCAAAGGATGAAATATTGTCGCACTATCACGTGTTCGTTGGAAGCCAAGCGACAGATTTTGGGCAGGCTCTCTATTCCCACGACGAACTGTGAGCCAAACTTCTGTACGAAGCGACCATTTATTTTCTTTTCCTCGTTTGAGTCTACTCTGTGCAACCCGTAGATCTAAATGGTATCAGCTGTTCAAGCATTTTTGAATTTTTTTACGTTCGTTACTACTATGCGCTTGTTACACTGCACTTTGGGAGCCATTTTGGACCGTACCAATAAATCATGTTCGACAGCAACCCTTTCAGAAAGTTTTAGAAATGCGAGCTGTTTTTTGTGCTTCTTTTATTGGATGCAGATGGCGATAAGGCCCGTGAAAAAAACCTTAGTGAGCGTGTGGCTTGCGTAGCATAGGATATTCAGGGGTTCAGAACAGCCTGACCGTTGGGTTATCTAACTCACAGCAGCGGTTTGTTGTACTATGCATCTCAAATAGTGGTATTAGCTATTAAGAATGGGATAAGATTCACATCGAAGTGGTAGGGAGGAGTTCGAGGACGGAATGAGCTGAGGTTTTTGGATGGAGGGCTAGCAGGAAACTGGAAATTCGTTGCTATGGTACATTGATGCGTTGGTCAGATTTTAGCTGAACTTGGTGCCTGATGGAAATGTTTGTCTGTCGTCGCTATACCAGTTTTGCACTTCCAATTATCAAGTCTGTGTAGTGGTTCGGTATCTTAGTTACTTGTGTCTCGAGGTTGAGGCAGTGTTCCCTCCTTACTTCCAAATTTAGCATTTACGTAAGTAGATGGCTGCTGAGTCGGGGCTAGTCATGTGGATCAGTGAAAATGGGAAGGGAAGGTGGCTTACCTGACAGAGTAATAACAAGAATCGCCCTTTTAAAATAAGTTGTCATTAGTCGTAGGGATACTCAACTGTGTTGCTCAATCAGTAATCAGAAGGGCTTTTCGCATATTAAAAGCAGTTGGCTTGAAATTTACTAGAAGTTTTGAAATAATAAATAAGTTGCAGTTAATGCAACCAATTAATGCTATACTAATTTTTTTTCCAAATGAAAGTGATTTGAGTAGCAAAGCTTCGGCAGTGGAGCGGGTCGAACACGTTTTGTGAGTTATTTCAAACCCTTGGGGATGAGTCGTGCAATTAGGCCTTTGATCCAGTTGGTTTATTCTCCTTATTGAGGTACGAATGAGCTTGAGAAAGAGCAGGGTTAATTGGTCATACTGATTGTATCCTCAATCACCCAGAGGGTTGGAGCATCCATTGTGCCGGTGAGTTTGAGGCTCCGTCATGAGCCACATATTGTAACTCCTCAATACGGTTTTATGGGATTATCAAGCATCGTCACCTGGGTGATTATTTCCGACAATAGAAGATAACTAGCTGTAATTGCGTAAAATTATCCTCAATTTTCATTGTTACTACCATGCGCATAATGGTTTGACTTGTTCTCTTATTCTAGCCGTCGCCAAACAAACATCACTAGGGGAAGGAGTTCAGGACAACAAATTGGCGTAATAACTTAAGTCGGCTTAAAGTAATGGCGATGATTTTGTAAATAAGTGATTCCTACATCTTTTGCCTCAACTAAAGGCATTTATTTATGTGTCTTAGACCTATCTGAACACTGATACCTTGATTTTGGTAACCCGCATTTATTTGACAGTTCATAGAAAAGTCGGTGCATAAGTGATTCTGGAAGAGACGATACAATACGCAAATATGGTCTCAAGAAAGGACACCACACTATGCAGCCAAAAATGGTCTTTCAGAAGCATTCCACTTCCACAAAAGTATTCACTTATGTGGCATGGACCTGTAAATGCGTATTCGAGGAGCGCTTGATAAAATTGTGACGAATCTCAGTAACACTGTGATGGTCGATCAAATTTTATTTTTGTCATCAAGTAGGCTTCATTTCCCCACTAATGGTACCAAGAAGTGAGTTCGTGTACTACCAAAGCTGTTTAACACTTGTGCCCCCCTCCTGCAATGAAGAATTCGTGCTCTTGCCATCTGGCTTGGTTTAATATCTAAACCGCGTAGAATGCTCTTAAATGGAACACAACCCTCCTGATCACTTGGTGAAACGGCTAACCTTGAATGGAATGCTAAGGAATCTTTGGGAAGAAATTATTTGCCCTTCTTCAGCAGCGTTATGTTGCTCAGGTTCTTCTAAACTCCATCATCATTATGCACAAGGATTTCCTACCTCTGCATGACTAACTGTCGGGAAGCAAGGGAAGGTCCTAATATGGCGCAACAAATATGCACTTCATGTTCTTAGTGAATGCGTTTGCATACATCACAGTTTCAAATGCATAATTCCCCCCAAAATGGATGCAAACCTCTTGTAAAAGTGATCGTAACCAAAATGGTACCACCTGAATAAGTAATAGTGAACAACAGCGGGGATTTACTACAGAAACTCAAAATGCAAGTTGTCTTAATCTTTCAGGGCTTTATAAATTGCCGAATAACGTAAAGGTGGACGACAGCTTCAGATTTAACTCAACCTCTTTGTCAAAAATCTAGGCATCATACGTAAAGAAGATTCTAAACTTTGTACATTTGGAAGATGGAATTGTAGTTCTTACTTATTTTTGTCAGTAAAATTTGATGTTTGATTAAGTGCTACTCTTGTAGGTAGTGCGCAGTTCCGCCAAGCAAAGGTTGCTCCAAAGAGCAGATTTGAGCTTTTAATAAATAGACCGCTCGAGATTGGTGTAAATAGCTAACTTTTGTGCCAAAAAAATGAGAGTTTATTTCTCCGCCGTTCTACTAAGCAACTGACATAAAGACAATTTTTTGATTAGGAGAATAGTTATCGGTTAAAGTCGGGGCCATTTGTTGTTGCTGCGCTCGTTTATTTAACATGACTACATGCACTTCTTTGTGTTTTTAAAATTGTTGAACCAAATTAAATCGGGTCGCCACTGATTCATCTCATCTTCAAAGCTATAAACAAAATTAATACATTAAGATCATGGCCAAGGACTATTTAAAGGCTTACTGAATGCTAAGCATTGTAAGGAGGAGACGACTTAAGGTTATTCATGCACTCGCTTTGATTACCAGCCTACAACAGTACGGTATGTTGGCATTCCTATAAGCATTTAGTATTCTATCCTCACAGCCCAATTGATTGTAGCTTGAATGCTTCAAAAACCACCATTGATTAGCATAGTCGGAAGAGTAAAGGCGAAGGCGTGAGGCAGACAGGCGTCTTCTGGCGCGCTAACCAGCATACGTGGCTGCATCTCATGTGCCTCAGCGTGTCCGTTTCTCTGCGCGTTGATTCCAAATCAATGCCTAGTGAGGGAAAGAGCGAGTGAGAAAGTGTTGCGAGGGAGAATTATTCTCTTATCGTTTCAAACGCACACGTACACGCCTCCAATGTCCACGTGCTCGCCTGGCTGGGATCACTGTAGCTAGCGACATGAGTCGAGATCGGGTAAATCCTATCACCTATTTGGTGCGTCGGCTATCGAAGACCCTCTCACTCAACCGTGGCTCGGTTACAAGTGCTGACTTGGAGGACCTCGCTGAATATGTTCACCATCCCCATGTTCGCCTTCCTTCTGCCACACGCGAGCGCACAAGCCGCTCATTTGACAGATCTCGTAAAGGTGGTGTGCCAGTAAGATCAGCTAGTGCATGCCCCGCGCCTCTTGCAGCAGCGGATTGTTTCGATATCACTGATGTGAGCGATGCGGAGGCAGGGTCTAGAGATCAATTATCAGATAGTAAGGCCGAAGATGGAAGTGAGGATGGATCTGTGACTCCAATTTCTTACTCTGATAGTGAGGAGTCACAGTCCATGCACAAAGCTGCGGAGGAACCACTTTTCACATACTCAGGGACTCCCACTGATCAAATCTATGATTTTAGCTACCCCGAGGTACTGGGAGATATGAGTGAATGTGGTTCAGTTTCGACTGTTCAAAAAAGAGACTCCTCTTCAAGCTCAAACTCAATAGATTTGGAATGGAGTGAAGTAAGTTCTTCAGAAGGGGAGGTTGAAAATGTTGAACTGGAGGAGGCTCAGGCTCCAATGAATCAACCTTCAGAGGCAAGTAAAGAGGGTGCTAGTATTGAAGAGAAGGCCTACAGGGAGAATCATCAGGATAGTTACGAAGACTATAGCTATTCGGAGTTTGAAGTGCAGCACGATCCTCAGCAGGACCCATTCCATGAAGCAATTCTCATTGCTGAAAGGCAAATACAATCCTCACATCCTTATCACCTTAATATGAATACATCTCCTCCTGCAATACTAGTCACATCCCCATCAAATCACGATATAACCCAAAAATCACCAAGCCGACCTCCACCCCCAGTCACAAAACCCGTTCCGCCACCAGTGCCACCTCCTCCCAAGGAAGTAATACCGCACGGATCAGAGCCCACTCGACCACCACCACCAAGGCCGTCATCAAAACCGGAATTGCCACCTTCAGAGACTCCAACAAGCCCAGCACGAAGGAAAAAGCACAATATATTTGGAATTAATATTGGTAAGCATATTTAAACCGATGCTTCATCATCATTAGTCGGATTTGATGATACACATGTGCGAGATTTGTAGATTGAGAACCACTGGCTTTAATCCTTTTTATAGAGTGCAATTTCCATACTGAGAATAAGGCTTGAATTAGTTTCTACATTCCCCACCACTTCACGAATTACCTATAAAGACGTTTACTTCATTGTAATTTGATCTTAAATTATTCTTAAACATTTTTTAAAAAATTAGTGCTTTGGATGGGCGTGTATCTCACAAGAAAAACCGTTAAAAAAAATAATGCCACTGAGTGGATGGGAGAACCTTTGATTAAAAAAGGGGATCATAAGAGTTTTTCTTGTGGGCACACTTTTGGTTCGAAGATATTACATTAGGTTCGTCGTTAAAGTATTCACTGTTAGGGCTCTGGGTTAACATTTGGCAAGGGTAGTTTCCATCCGAAATGTCACAAAATTGAAGGCGTGTACGGACTATTTTATTATATAGGAGCAACAACTCAGGTTCTAAAACCACAACTGGCAGCTCTAATATATGGGGATCAGTTCCTTTTCCAAAGCTACTTCGAGGAATGTACAATTTTGCGATAATAATAATAATTCCTCCACTAATCTTGAAGTCGAAGATGCACCGTACAAAATTAATTCTGAAGGGAACTGCAGAAGCTGACCAGTGTCTAATCATGTTAGTAGATAAGACTCATTTTATATAACAAGATTCGAGAAAACTACTAAGATTAAGATTACAAGTTGATTCTCTACGCATACTGAAACTTGGAAACTCACCACGTATTGTTTATAATTGTAGCATTACTTTCCTTTGGGTCTATTTTGGCGGTTTGTCTATTGCTTATCATTAAGGTTAATAGCTGTTACTTTGAAAGATAAACTATGAGCTTAAAATAGAGTTAGTATTCCAGTAGCTTATGCTACATGCATGACGGCGAAATCCAAAATATCTTCTGAAATGGGTACAACAGCTAAAATTTTCCATATAAGTTGAATTACTATTTTATTGCTCGAGTTCTGGAGGACTCAATGAAACGTATTATAAAATTCAAGTATATAAGCACAATATTGACATTTTGAAGAAGCACGCGATCATTGAAGAAAAGCATTGTTCGTTTTGCCAAACAAGTGGAGAGAGCAGTAAACGCTTCAGGTTCTGGAAGTCATCTGCTGAACACAATTTCTGCGAGCGATTTGAGTCAGCAGTCCTGACAACAAAACTTTTCCTTGTCCACTTTATACTTTTTATTTAAACTACGCCTGAAAAAAGTGACACTCAATTGTGGAGCTCAATTAGGCATTTGTACGGTTGCATAATAAGGTGTTTTGCGTTTAAATTTGGCACAAGGTAAAACGCTGCAGCTTTACCATTAGCTTGAGTTTCATAATTGATATGTTACGATTTTGGTGGCAGCCACTTTTCGAAAGTAGAAGCGATTCTAGTTGTCTATCATCAAATATCTAGCCTCAATAATCAATGCAGAACACAATGCAAGCATTTTAAATAAGCGTTTCAAGTGAGATCACACAAGCGTAGCTTCGGGATTTCAAGACTAAGTCCGCACACCAGGGTCTTACGTTAGGCTTCAGCCTCAGTGTCTCATCGTTGATGTCGTCCACCCTGCCTCAGTTTACCACCCCGCACCCACTCCCAAGAGCCTCGATTCCAGCGTCTTCATTTGGCCGCAGCCCAAGTAGGTCTCCATACTCTCTGTGGCCATTGGTAATTGCAAATGCGTGAACTGCGCGCTCACCGTGCGCGCACTCGCGGGTAGTCGGACGCGGCGACCGAGGTGGGTCGATAACCGCGCGGACGAGTACGCGCGCGCAAAAGTTTACCCACACTACTCTGCTGCCCTGCCTCCTAGAGGCAAATCAGTTTGTGTGGATTCCTTACTCGTCTTTTGGATAGAGCAGGCTCCCAAACTCACTGACCCCTGCTACTAGTGACGGTAATCATTTGTTTTCCCTTATTCGTTCTTTATGTAATCTGTGATTCTACTGCAGCAGATAGGTAATTCGTGTCTTTCAATTCAATTCATCCAGCACTTAAAATGAAAGGGAATTTGAAACGATAGCATACATTTTCCTACAGTGCAAATCAATATCCAATTTAGTTGGAATTTTAATCTCTTCAAAGGAAACGATTTTTGAAAATACAAAAAAATTTTATGCCTTCCACCTCGTGGACAAGGACCCAAGTTGCCAAAAATACTTAACAGGTTGGATTTTCACCAACCATCTTTCGTGTTTACGACGCATGTAGAGCTGTGAGAGGCCTGTGTTTGATAACCTTAACAGTGGCAAGGCGTTGTTAATTTCCATTTCTTTCCAAGTCCTGTAGCCGACAGTGCGATTGTAGCGGTACGATGGTACTAAAAGTAGCTTAATTGATAACTTTCCACAATGGGAGAATAACGTTGTGATCGAGTTTCCCTAAAGAGAGGTATTAACCCCTTGCAGCTTTAAAAGAATCGCATTATTTGCAATAATTAAAAGGCAAATGCAAATCAATGTCCTCACAGTTCTTCCCGTTCAGCATACAAGTTGCGCAAAAAATTTAGTGAAGCCTCAACGGAAGGTGTACTTAGATGGATTAAGCTACAAATAGTTTAATTTACGAGGTCTCCACAAACTACTTACATTACTTAAACTGAGAACTTTTCACTTTCTATGAGGTAATGCGTAGTAATCGGAGGGTAAGCGCAGCACCTCATTACAGACTGCGGACTCCCTTTACTTTCTATCTCTTTAATTTAAAAGGCTCGACAGTAATCCTGGTTTCGATGAGTTTGTTTACCTTGCGCATTAGACTCAACCCTAAATCTGATTTCAAAAAGGATGACTGCGCAGTTTGCATTGACAGAAGTGCTCTTATTGAAATAAACTTGACTCTTATCGTAACCATTTGAAAAGGGAGGAAATGGAATAATCAATGTGTTTTCGGATTGCATTGTCTTCTGGAAGCAACGATTTTGTTGTCGAGTCGTAAAAATTGACGGATTGCATGCTTGGAGTTTGATTGATACAGACATTTTCTCCAATTATCTCGCGCCATGGGAGACGAGACGTTTTTCTTTTCTATCGATGCAGCCTCATTTAGCAAGTAGGGGAGTGTCAATCGCGCAAACCTGCTTCAGTAACCATGAGTACAGAGGAATAGAGTGATGGACGGATGGACGGATTTCAATAACCAATTCCCTATTTGCATTGTAACCTCAAACACAGGTTCTGCATCGATTATAATGAAGTAGACAATAAATCAGCTGTAGAACGCAGGAAATAAAATAAGTGCCAAATATTTTTGTTTAGTTGTCTTTTTACGGACGAGAATGCTGTAGTTTAGCGTGTGAATGAAAATATGCTCTTGTGGTAACCGTTATAGGTTACTTCTCTACCATTTATAGCCTTAATCAAAATAAGTTTCCTTCCTCGGATGTTTTGCCTGTAGAAATTTAATGTTTATGCCCAACTACAGAGAAACACTACAACGTGCATCCAAATTTACACACTACACATCCTGCCTCTTACTACAACTGTGTTGATATTTTTAGACTACATAAAAAGCAAACAGTCCTTTGTGATCACTTGCCGCATTTTAAGATGATAAAGTTAATGCATGTCAACGAATAGCCTACTCGGATGAGCACGATGGAGCGAATAGATGAGAGTTAATTGTCCTAGACTTGCTCGCCTGTCGCCTTAACAGTATCAAGCGTCAACAGGTAAGACCGCATCCTCTATCTCGAACCAATTCTGCGTCCCTTGGGGTTGCTCTTTTTGTCTTCTTCAACAAACTCGAATGGACTTCAAGTCTACCGGACACAGGAACAGTTCACTTCCAATCAGATCCACCAGCATTACCTTTCTATCCGTCTCGATAATGCCTTATAAACACGGCACGTGAAAATGATCAGGCGCGATCCTGACACTCAAAATCCTTTCATTTATCACAATCGCCTCCGAACTAGCAGTTCCACTGCACCCGTCTTTTCATTTAGCCAACCAAACGGGCGTAATAAGATTTAAATGAAAGTAAGTTTGGGTGCCTTTACTAAAATTATACGGTGCAACTCGGGAATGACTATGTGAGTGACTGCGTGCTAAAGTAGTAAAAAAGATCAAGAAAAGTGAATTAGGCCGCTGTGGACGATTCCGATACTCCCATACTACTTCAAGCTATCTCATTTGCTCCTCACAAAATTGCAGAAAAGTGTGTAAACATTAACTAAGTGCCTAAATTTCGTCCCCATGAAATTCGACCATGTAAGTGGATGCAAACGACACAACACTCGGCCAGAGCAGCATAATGCCCTGGAATTAACATGATTACAAAGTTGGTGTTATATTAAGAACCGAATTGTTCTGTGAACTAGGTCCTCTGCCCTCCGATCCGGACCCAGACTTTCCGTTTGAAAGTCACTTTGAGAAGAAACGAATAGTTCCCAACCCAAAAAAAGTACTTCAGCACATCATCGGCGGTGAAAAGAGGAAGCAACGCCTCAAGCGAAAAGAGGAGGCCGAACTTGAGCGGATTATCAAGTCGAAGCCTGCAGAGATAGGAGCAAACAAGTCGGAAGAACTCAACTCCTCCACAAAAGGCTACCTTTCGGATTGGCGTGAGTTTCAGGCTCGTGTTGAAGCAACAGTGACTGACACCGCCTCGAGACTAGAGTCTCTAAAGTGGACTGCAGAGACCACTGACGACGAAAAGGGGAATATAATCAGCAGTTGGGCCAATTTTGAGGCCCATCAAGAACCACAAGTTGCAGTCGATTGGGCGGAATTCGATACAAAGGAAGAATCAGACAAACCCACCAGTCAAGAAGGCTCTTCGGAAAATTCGATTCAAGAGGAGCCCTCTGGCTCTAAAATCGACGTTTCAGATCAGGAGAACGATTGGATTGCTTTTGATGACTTGCGAAGAATAGACGGAACGGGCTTCGTGACACCTCCAAATAGCAACTGGGCATCGGTTGCAAAATCTGAACCAACCGAAAGTGGAGATAACTGGGCTAACTTTGACCACACTGATTTCCTTAATTCGAATAATTCAGTTGCTGAAGCTCTCTCAAATAACCAATCGGCGCATTCTTTACCATTTAAAATGGATGAAAGCCACGATTCACCTTTGCATCAGTTTTCAACTCCAGACTTACAGATGAGTGAAGTTAATCGCTCTGAGACCGAAGAAAGAAAGAAGAATTTGTCTCAAATTGAAGACATGTCAGAAGGTAAAGATGTTTTTCCCATAGAAAATGAAGCTTCTGAGGAAATGAGTATTAGCCAACAGAAAGTGGATGCCACTGTGGCAGACACCAAAAGCACTGTGAACAGTCAACAAATAGAAGGAAGATATAATTCATCAAAGGGTACAATAAGCTCCCAATCCTCTTCACTCGATCGGGAATCATCTTGGCCCAACCAAATCCAGCACTACGGATACGACGATCCTTCCCAAATGACAACCGAAATATATCAATCATCACTTGAGGAACCCACATTTGTAGACGAACCCAGTCTTTCATCTGTTTCAATTGATCAAGAAAACTCAAAAGATTACCAATATGATAATCGAAGCGATTTAAATACTGCACTGAACGCTCAGCCACAACCTTCAAAATATGGCGACTCCTATGGATATGATGTGGTAGATGTCGATAATCTATCGGTAACAGAAAATAGCAGTGTGACTGGTTCTGACGTGCAGGATTTCGTTTCAGACGTCATTAATACGGCTGAGACGAAGGCGACTAAGAAACTTCATCCGGAAGTTGTGAACCTCTGCACAAACAACGTTAAATCCAAACCTCGGACAGTCAGACAGGGTACGTTAACGGAAAACAATCCCTTTCGTAGGGCTTTGAGAACGGAAGACTCAAAAAACGTTGATCAAGAGCTTAATCCGGAAGAATTGGCAATTGAAGATGAAAAGACCACTATTGCTACGGTGGCGCTCTTTAGTCAGTCAGTGCATGATGAAGATGAGGACTTGGAAGAAAATGCTGTAGACTATGCCAGTGAAGAGAGATCTGAAACGCCAACGAATCAAAATTTTGATCCGTTTCAAACAATTTATCCTATTTCAGAAAAAGATAGTTCCAGCGATGCTGAGGAAGAAAAGTCAAGTCATGCTGTACCCCACCTTTCAATTAAGAAAAGGGCTAGTGACAATCAAAAAATGCACGAGGAAACCGCAACCTTCCCTCTTCTTCCAGCTCCTCCAAAGACTGAAGTACCAGCTTATGCGGATGACATCGCTCTTAACGATGAAGATGACAAATTTGAAAAAGGACTAAATGAACAAAATAACATTCTGAAGGATTTGGCTGTGCAAAGTTCAACGCCATTAGGTTGGGAGACCTTCACCTCGGATAATACTGTGGATAACGTTAACGCAACGGATGATGAATTGAATAAGGCATTTGAGGTTGATTGGTCGAAACCACCGGTTCCAACAGCATCACTACCTGAACCACCACGGCCAGAAACGCCTGATCCTGATCTAGAAGTTCCATTTAACCCCCCTGCTCCCACAAATCAAGTGTGGAGACTGTGGATTAGGTATCCAGAGAAGAAGAAGAAAATGAAGCAGATGACAAAGTACACTACTGACCGCAGTTGGAAGGAGATTGCTGTTACATTATCTGATGACCGAGGACGTTGTGAGGTTAATTTGCACGATATTGACCCGAACGGCAAGGATTACGTGAAAGAGCCCTACCGAACGCTACGCATAGAGCCCTATATGCAGTTGTCGAGGTGTAAACTTCAACAGTACGACAAATATGGCAAACTTAACATATTCAAGATAAATCATGTCTCGTACCGAGAACTACCAGGAATGCGTCCAGAAAAATTTTCCATTAAAACCTTCCATAATTTAATCTCCCACAAGCCGAAACAAAATATAACTCTTGATCACATTCCCGTGTACACGGAGATTCTCAAATTCGGTTCAATGGACAGGACTCTGATGCGGAGTCTAATGTCAATTTTGGAAGATTCCCTAATGCGAATTCCGGCTCACAAAGATGAGGGCCTTAATTATACTCACGAGGAAGTTTGTTGTTATGTAGTTGATGAATACACTGGAAGACTCTCAGTCAATGGAATTATAGAAGAGCAGAAGGCACGGACGAGAATATTTTGCAGTGCATTCGTGAATGGAGGGCCTCATATTGTATTGGGCATCAACGACAAGTGGCGTTTCGGAAGGGAGATTGTGCGGCGATCAGATATTTTACCAGTGATGCATGACGACTGGATAACTATTTGGAAGCCGGAGTTTCACTCCTGTCTCGAGATGGGTGATTACGAAAGTGACCATTTGCTGAAGTTTTACCCACTTGATGGGTGTAAGTTTGAGTTAATGAGGTTTCGTGTTAGTCTTCGATGCAACCGGGAGCTTCCAATGCAAGTTCATTGCACCTACTCGATAGACGATAGAAAAATATCGATGCGGTGCGAGTTACTAGTTCCAGGTTACTTCACAGCCACAGGACGATCAGGAGCTGTTCCTTGCGAAGACGTTGAGGTTCGAATACCTGTGCCTGAAGAATGGATTTATCACTTCAGATTTGAGAAACATCACAAGATGGGCTCAGTGCACTCAACGCTGAGGAAACCAGGAAGAATAAAGGGTCTGGAGCGGATCACACAAATGGCACAAAGTCTGCTACCGCCCAGTTTACTTGAAGCTAGCATTGGATCAGCTAAGTACGAGCACCTGTTTAAGGCTATAGTTTGGCGCATCCCTAGAGTGCCGGAGAAAAATGAAGGTGAGTGCGCAAGCCTCTATTCAGTAGATTATGTGAATTCGGCGTTAATTATACCCTCATTGGGGACTTGCCCAGCAAAGCGAAGCACCCTTAACCAAAGCCCATAGTTTATAAAATGTTGAAAACTGGGCGCCCCAGGAGACATATTTTTTAATGCCTACTTCTGGATGAGAGAAAAGTCAATTTACCTGTTACAACTACGTTGGCAAAATCGGTGTTGGCCTGGTCTCGTTAATCCCCAGCAATGGTCATCACTATTCACCTAATTCTATTTACATGACACGAAGACAATGCCTTTCGAAATTCGACGGTAGCTTTTGGACCTTTCATGAGGCTTAGTCCTTGTAACTGTGAGTGCTGGTTGTAGCTGTATGTGCGTGCAGGTGTGGCGTAACTGAGGGAAAGTAGGTGAGCGACCGACACGCAACATCTGTGTGAAGTAGTGGTCAATAGTCCTCTCATTCTCCTGTCAACTAACCCGATGTGAAGGCCATAATCACACATTCAACAGTTAAAATCCTTTTTACTCCTTACAAAGAACATTTGCCATTACTTTTTCCCGTGGTGTCCCGTGTTACCTCCTTTGCCATTTTTGAGAGTTGACCAAACAACCAACATGGTGCATAGTCTCCCTACTCTTGGAAGCTGTCTTCAGCGCCTCCGCAGTCAGCTACGATAATGCATTTAATGCTGCTGAAAAAGTGTCAGGGGTTTGTTTGTTGTGTAAATCGGGTTTGTGTGTAAATAAGGCGAAAACTGAACGCAGCGTCACTTCTTCCCCTTAGCATTTCTACTTGATACCCATTTTTTCTCTGGATAATGTCGCACCTAGTCGCGTAGATCCTGCTATAGACGCAGCCACTTAACAAAGGAAGGGATTCAAAGCAGTTCATTAGGATTTTGACCGCATTAATAACCGTGAACATCATTGCCAGGTCCTCTATTGGGGGTCGACACCAATTTCTCAATTTACGGAAAGTGAACTGCTTCTCCCTCTTTGTTTTTATTCATCTTCCTTCTCCGTCCTCCATAGGGCTAATCACTCAGAAATAGGGATCAAGATATTTGTCCTTTTAAGATCAGTTCACCTTCCATTCTCATTAACATAAAGCCCCGAGATTTGTCTGGAGGCAAGAGGGCATAATTTATGGGCAAAAGAGAAGAGATGAGGCTGCTGATAACGAACAATACCTAAGTAACCCTTTTATCAGGGCTATAAGAAAGCAAAGAATCAAACAATGCATTATAATTGTCTCCGATTAGAAGTCGGATGCTATTTAATGCCTTCTATATTGTTTCGCTACAGCCTCTTGCCGGCCTCACCTTCTGACATGCAACCTTCTTCTAAGCGCTCACGATACGGTCCCGGAATGGAATGTTCTTGTAAAGGACGTTCAGATTGAATTCAACATGCCATCGAGCACTGTTTCTGGGACAACTGTCAGATCCATCTCAGTGGAAACGACAGGGATTGCCGAGAAGTTCGTAAAGTACACAGCCAGATATCGCCTCACCAAAGCAATCGACTACCAGTTGGGGCATAGGAAAGACAAACCTCTGAAGGGTATTTTAGATGCAGAAATCGATCAACCAACATCATCTTCAGATTCTGAGTCAGAGAGAGAGGACGAGATTGGAAACACAGAAACGCCTCAAGATTCAAAGTGCAGAATAGAAGAGTCTGGAGTTGCGGTTGCTGATCTCCTCGGCGAAGGTCTAAATGAGACGACTCCACCTCACTCAAAGGTCGCGGTTAAACCCGAAGCCGCGCAATCGGAAGAATTAGTTGGTATCTTTGGCTAAAACTACACATCAACTCGACGTCTCATTTCTTACCGTATTCCTCAAACCGTCCTTATACATAAGCATAGTTGGCCCATATTTCGTGTTACTTGTATGTGTAATTGAAATTTGGGTGTTTCGAAGATTTTGGGCACCTATTTTGAAACGGATTTTCATTCTTTGGGGTAGTTTGCCTCCTACTCATTCCTACTTACTCATGTCAACTTTATGGAATCACTCAGTGTAGGAAACCAAAATTATCTTATTTTCTTTTATGGAAAGTATAACGCAAATTCAAATTTGGCATAAATCAGACGCCTCATCACTTCATACTTTAGCAATGGTATTTGTAAAGACTACCTTATCACTAGCGTCAATCGCAAATACACAATTAGACAATAAAATGCCCTTACAGAGCGACCTAAAATCTTGCATTCGCCAAATCCAACCAAGGACATTCAGAAATGTGCGGCGCTGGACTAAAATTGCACCACTTTCTGGCTAGATACAAACAAGAAAAGTTTTACGAAAATAGATTCATGTACCCATCATTCAGAGGCAAAAAAATTTAACAAATGCCAATGCTCACGATGTTTAATCGATGAGAGTGGTGTCAATCAACACCGTACTGTACAGAGGAAGGTAGGGAGGACGAGGGGGTGGAAAAGTCAAACATGGCTACAGAGATGTAAGGTAATAAAATTTTAGTTTGTTTGTTTTATCATCATTTCTCTTAGTTGAGCATAATTCTGGATACTCTTTGCAAACCTGAAACAAAGAAATTGTAATGTTCAAGAAAGGCCCTAAAATTTAAATTTGCAACGAGCTCATAGCGAGCAAAATTTTAAAAAAATACAAATCATGCAAAAAAGCACACTATTCAAATTACAGAGTTTAAAATGAAACAAATGTCGAAGCTCATTGAATTCAAGAGAACTCATTTACTTTGCGAAGCCATTAAAAAGGGATACGATCTCCGACCGTTTAAGTTGAGCGTTTGGTTGCGTTTGGGCAAAACAACATCTTGACTTATTGAAGAGATTATTGTTGAAAAGTATCTTCAGGGCGGTACCTATACCCTGTATCTGAAACACAAATGTTCAATTACTGCTTACACTACAAATAAATTTACCGATGCGACAATTCAAGAGAATCAACTTGGCCATTTTTCAGTGCCAGCTACTGTTGTTTACTTAAATATGCATGAATGCAAAACGTCAGTGACAGCCCACTTTTTGGTCAGGTTATAGCAAGTAATGCTTGAGCGACGAGCGCGGAAAATACCGTCGCGTATGATTTTTCGTTAATAAAACAGGCGTGCCAAAATAGGAAGCATCGATAAAATTTTAACATTATAATAGTTATGCAATAGAAAGCAGTTCTTGATTTCTTATAAAGCTGACCAATGTACGATTGAAACTCATGAGGTGACTGAAGAACATTGAAAGATGCCTTTAACAAGTTCAGTGTCATACCATGCTTGGCAATGCAATAACTCTTGCTGATTCCAAGAAAGTACAGAAAGATAAACCTCGCTTTTGATTTTAGGCTTTGATCAATCCAGTTAGGAGGCAAACAGGAAACGTTAAGGCATGCGATGCTAATGCCAACCTGCAATTTCCCCCACATCCTGCATTTATCACAACCAACGCAATCCATGATTCTAGTAATGTTCAGAAAACGCAGACGGAATTCCTCTTTAAGGTCGAGAATTTCCTTCCCAGGTTCGTGGAAAAGCTGTGATTCATCAAAGACAGCACTGTGATGGCTGTAGTTGGAAATAGAGAAAGGTGCGGGTGACGGACAGTTTACCAGAGAACAAAAACAGGGCATGTTATTCACGTTATTGAGAATATAGAGCACGTTATCACCTAGAGAACCATAAAATTACATTCAACTTAATATACAATAAAATGAGAAGACAGACGCTTGAAAAAAAACTACCAAAAAATGGGTTTAACTATCTGGCTATGCTTTAACCAAACAAAACTCGTGACAAGCCTTTTCCAGATTTACCACTAATGACTCACTCGATATCACTAAGAAAATCAAGCACCATGCTCCTGGTACGGGTGTCGGTAGCCGCATCGCCAGTGTAGAAGGCTTGTTGCATGAGGTATGGCGCCGCCTTGGCGATAGCCCGCATCTCCACTACGTAGGCGAGAAATAGGTTTCGCAGACGTCCAAGGGCCTCAGGCACCAAGGCCGGATGGAAACGGCGCACAAACTCTTCTACACTTGGTCCCCATACATTCTCCTTAGGCAGGCTGAAGAAAGTGGAGGCGCCTTTGAAATCTACAGCCAATTAAAGATGTCTGCAGGTCAAAACAGTATCTCATGCATTAAACTCAGTACTCTCGTAGTTTAGCGTCTGGATCACTGAGAATGCTTCACATAATTGAAGATGACCGTCTAGCAAGGACATTTAGTAAACTTCGTTGGTCATATGAGCGTTAACCATCACCTATGAGTCAGAAAATCACGGCTACTAACTAATGAAAGCTAAAAGGCAGACGTACAATTGGTCATCAAGATAGATCCAGGTAGAACTAGATTCTCGTAAATCTGGTTCAAAGTAACCGCAACATATTTAAAGAAATTGATTAATTAAACTTAATAAGCTTGGCCCTATGATATGTACAGTTGTAGATCTCTAGAATATGAAATCATGACATTGCTTAGGCAAAAGACATTCCCCACAAACATGCTGATTTCAATTCCTTAAGACGGATAACGCATGACAGGCTAGACAAACCGGATAAGAGGTGATTGTAACAGAGCTGAAGGCTGATGCTCGTTTGGAGACCAGAAATGAGTCTGTAGAAAAGACGCTTTTCTTTGCAAGTTGTTGTATCCACTAGAAACATGAAATGCATCTACTCAATGCAAAGCTTAAGCAAAATAACTTGATCAGAGGAATGGACGTTAATTTCAAGAAGACGAGAAGTTCCATTAATTCCGTCACAATCGAAAAGGCGCACGTACCTGGTGAGTAGGGGATGCCATTGAAGACTCGCATGGGGTTAGATCTAAAAGAGAAGGCAACTAATTATTTTTATTAAAGTATAAAATGATGCAAGTAGCTGAACGGTCTAAGCTCTATGCTCCCTACTGAAAACAATTTTCCAAGTAGATCGACCTCCAAACACGGGCAGATGATTCACCCTTGTAGCCCGTGTATTTCTCCACATTCTTCAATAGATCGACATAAATTGTACCCTGTTCAGACTCATCTAAACAATGACAATGATAAAAAATGAGACATTGCATCTAACACACCACCAAGTTCGCAGTACGGTTTGTCCTCCGCTTCTTTCGAGGACCACTTCCCAATAGTTTTCTGTTGATTTTCACTAAAAAAAATTTTGACCATATGACAATAGTTTGAAGGAAGCATTTATTGAAACAACTCGAACAACGATATTGGTTGAACAAGAAGCGACGTGAGGTTATCCGGATAGGCCTTCCAAGGGCGTTAATTGGAAAACTGATAGCACACTGATTAATAAGGCAGAAAAATCCAAGCCAGAAATAGTAACAGCGATCACATTAACAGCAATACTAAAGTCATTGAGGACTGCATAATAATACTGAGGGCAATAGCAAAGAAGACATCAAGTATGAGCTACAAAAACTTTTAAAAATTATTTTTAAAGTGAGAATTCGAAGACCTCGAAAATGATCACAGTAACCAGTGAAGCGCGCAGAATGTACATGGGAGACCGCTATTTCCTTATACATGAGAAAGGAATTACTAAAATCTAAGTCAAGACACGCGCGAAACGACCACTGAAATCAAAGCCATGAATGGAGAAAGATACGTATTCCATAACCAATAGCCTTGACTAAAAAAGAGCGCAAAGAATTAGCTAATATGAAAAGAAATAAGAACATAACCATTTTAGGTGGCGGAAAATATAACCATGTGAATCTACATAGTATCAGAAAGAACAGCAGAGGTCACAAATCACATATCTCGAGACAAAAGCAAACATACTCAAGGAACGTATCCAGTTGTCCCAGTGTTAATGCCTTCTCCTCCTCTTCCGAACATTGTCCCCCAGTAAGTTCGCCTAAACCTAGGCGCTGCAATAGAAATGGGAAAAAGTCATAATACCAAAGCTTGTTTAAGGAGTAAAAGTGGATGGCCTGAATTTATGCAGAGTAGACCAAACAGCTTGTCGCGACTCTAAACCTTAAACCAAAATAATTTTGACGTTAAAGACGCAACTCATTTGTTTTCCAACATTTACTGGCTGATAGTAACAGGATCAGTTCCAAAAATCCTGTGTCTCTGGATAACAGTGGTATAGTCCAATAGGTTGCACAAAAAAATAGAAACTATTAAGCGAATGCGAAATGATCGCGTAAAATGCCCCCACTGAAGTTAGCGTCTCAAATAAATGTGCAGATTAAAAACCAATTAAAAAGGATTCAAATAGTCAAAGTCACGGTAACTACCACAGCCTTTGCGGAAACAAGCTTATCGTAATTTGACTCCCTAAGTCCAATTGGAACCTCTGAGAGGGAACAATCCTCAACCTGACAATCCCGCAACACACAGCGTCCATCATCTGGCCAAAATTGGCACTTTCGGTACAAATTCACCTAAATTTAAGTAAATTGCAGGACAATAATGGAATAAACTCATGATACATAGTAAAGCTACCACAGAAAGCGATATCAATTCAAAAGGGTGTGCAGCATAACACTAGAGTGAGGAATAGACCAAAATAAACTACTACAAATCATGCTAAACATAGAGAACATACTTGAAAGATGCGAAAGTAGTCACGTGTAATGATTTCTTCTAATTTCGGCAATAGAACTTTGTTGAGACTTAAAACATCTTCAACGGTTGAATTTGCATCGCCAATTGAGCCTGAAATCTACCGGAAAAAATCAGCAATATAAACTACGAAAAGTTACTCAGTAAAGAGTTAGATGACTACGAGTATCCAAATTTAGAACCTATAACGACTAGCAATCAACACAGGACTTTCAAGAAAGCAAAGTTGGTAGAGAATAACGGCAAATGATAATTATAATGAAGCATTATGATGAAAGAGTGAAGTTACTGTAATTTCACATTCGGACCTCCCGTTTGACAAAGTGCTTAGGAAAAACAACGACAACACCAACGCACGCCCTGTGAACGACAGTGGTGACGTCATAACAAGCACAGAGACCAAGCTCGAACCCCGTCACACTTACAGCAGAATATCGAAACGCAACTGGTCGGACGAGACCTTAAACATAGGTGTGACAATGTTAAACAAAACAATTGAGATATAATGGGATGGACATAATTAAGCTTGCAAAAACACTACCAACTTGATTCAAACGTTAATATTTTATATGAAAGTCAGATAAAAGGTCCTTATAAAATTTGCAACAATGCAAACTATCAATGCAAATTAGTGTCCAGTGTTCAAATATCTATGTACCATTTGTTATACAATATTACCCAAGTGAAGATTTTTTAAGACAGGAGCGAGCATCAGTAGAGTTCAGATGCATCCTCCTGAGACTTACCATCGAGTACAAAAAGGGAGTAAGTTATAATGAAGTTATTTATTCCAGGAAGAGTAAAGGGACCAAGCCTAAAGTTGGCCCGAAGGCCAACCCACGCTTACAATGGTGAAGTGAATCTTGAGACGGCCACCAGATCTTTAAGCGGCCAGATAAATAAAGTATAAAACTTATTACCTTCTTCTATTTAGTAGGACTTTCGCGGGGCTGCAGGGCTTGCTTCCGGACCATTTTAACCGCAGTTCTTTGTTTATGTGGCCAACTGATATCTGGCGGTTAGTTTGGAACCTGTCTCAGCCTAGCTCTCCTGGGCTGGCCTCTGATCCATGCTCAGGTCTTATTGCTTTGTTTACCTTTGAATACATGTATTCAGCTCCACTTACTGCCTTCTACCCGGTGGGAAGTCTCGTCGCGCTACACCAACCGCTACGGCATCCTTTCCCATTTATGATAGCTCAATTGCTATCTATTCTCGCGTTATGCCGTTTTTTATGTTTAAGGAAATCTCGAAACTTTGTTGTGGCAGCTGCTTTAATGAAATTTGCTAGTTGCCACGCTTCGCCGAATGAAATTATACTGCATCCAAACTAAAACAGTACAAGTTTCAGATGCAAATTTCGACCAATGTGATAATTACATCAAATAAACGCGTTGGACTTCTAGAGATTTGGCTGTACCTCTGCTTCCGAGACAGTTTTTTTAGTTCTACTCTTGTAACTTACGTCTTTCACAACCGCTGCTCTTAAAGCATTAATTTTTGTGAATTTGCCAATTATTAACGGGCTTTTACCAAATGTTATTGTATTCGATCCATTTATTAATTGTAAAGAAGGTAATAGTGACCCTAGATGTAAATAACCTAGCTTAGCAACGGAAATGCGGCAAATGGGATGCAGCGACCACAGGATTCCGCTAGGAAAATAGTGCGAATGGACCATATTGTAATTATTGCTGTAGCAGTTCGAGGTTTAGACAGATGAAACTATGATCATGCATGAGAACGTTTCAAATGAATTGGAAGAAGAGAGGAAGGTCCAAACACCCCATTGGTTTTGCATGCTTTTGATTGTAGATCTTTGAAAACGAAATGAGGAAGATCGTATCCGACCGTGATCGGTTTATCCAAAGGACTTCGCGGTTTAATGAACGCTCTTCGGCTCATAGAGAAAATCTTGTTGAAATAAACAAGAGAGTCCAAAATGCTCTCAGAAAATTTCAAAATGAAAAAGTTCGGACAAAGAATGTGGAGAATGAGATAATCAAGTTGTTAATTTATTATTGCTCTTCCACACTTACATATAGCCTCAAGAAGAATTATTCACATTTGCTAGTTCTCAAGGCTAAAAAGGACCGTAGTCTGCGTTACTTTTCTCAGTTTTTTACGTTCTTAAATTCTGCTTTACAATGTTCCGAGGAGTTTGGCGACATTAATGAATTAATTAGTCGTGCTGATGCCCTTAAGTCACTTCATTTGGTAATGATTTCAATTTAAAGTTAGTTTTCCTCAGGAACTAAAGGACCGAGAAGCAGAAAGTCAGAAGATAATTGAGAGTCTCCAGAAGTCTACTCATCTCGCCCAATTAGTTACCATTCTTTTTTTTACCGTAGGCTAAAACTGAACATCTTCTAGAGGGATATAATAAGTTAATTGTAATGGAAAAGGAGCACAATGAATCACACTTAAAAAATTTTAATCGTACTGAACAAATATTTGATAAAGAAAAAGCATATATGAACATGAAGGAAGCCTTTGGTATCCTCAGAATGTAGATCATCGGAGCCCCTACTAAGTATTTAGGGCAATAATGAATACGAATCACCTCTTGGATGGTCAAATGCGTAAACTTACACCAGCATCCATCGAAAATGCTTTGAATTTTGTAAGTTATTCGCCACTCAAAGTGCTATTCCCACCCCATTTATAATGTTGTCATTGCAGCATTTAGTTCTTTGGCTACTATAGACCCAGATTTTGTTACGTAACCTCCTCTCCCACATTTGTAAAGAAGTTATCCAGCTTCCCATGTCAACCATTTTAGATAACGAACCAAATCATCGATCTCGAGGAGGTAAACAAGCTACTGCCGCAAGAACACAACTAGTTAAGGTCTCAGTCGATTTCTCTACGTATTTGTGTACTCTGTGAGTAAGCCGGAGAATGTTTGGCATAATGCCATTAATTCTCTCACCGCCCCATTTGAAACAGTTGTATTAAACGCATCAACATAAAGCATACACTTTCATTGAAATTAATAGACGGAGGCGATTTTAAAGTGTGTGAAGGGACGAGGAGCATTAAACTTGGACATATTCTGCAAGTGAAATGGAGGATAATGCTGTTCGATGTAAGAAATCGTTATGCCTAGCTAGGGACAACGTTAAGATTTATGCCGTTATGAGCAAACAGACAAACAAGACGCTCGTTTGGCGAATAAGGCTGATTTGTTGACCACCTGTACGTTCCTGAACACGATGTATTTCTAATTCGACAAAGTTTGAAGAAGCAATGAGCATAAGGATCTTCATTTAATACTATAAATGGGAGAGCGACGTTCAAAAATAAAGGACTGCAAACATGTAACAAGACAGAGTGAAGTGCTTAGCTTTCCGATCTTTTAAGAGGGAAAAGGACGTTTATATACATGTAAGAGGCGAAAACCATGTACAGATACCGAAACCATAAAAGCTGACTTTGATGCTGAAGCATTGCTTTATGAGGTGTAAGAGTTCCAGAAAGAGGCACACAAAATACATATTTGCGTTCCAAGCAGAAGGCCAGTAACACTATGAAGGGGGTGCAATATTTTAACAAAGAATCATATGTTTTTAAACAGTAGACAAACACCTCCGAAATTCCTAAGGGCATCTTGGTTAAAGCTGAGTAAATTTGACAGTGGTTTAAGTGGCCGCTCACCCCAGAAGTATCAAAAGAAATTACTGTTTTGGAATGCCACTTGCGAACGGCTTTGGAGATGTATTTTTGAACACGTTCTGGAGGCCAAACCTTACGAGGATTGTCCGGTAATTGTTTATCACAAATCAATCTATGATGTCGGATTCCCAGAATGTTCACAGAACGCCTTAACTCATCACATCTGATCCGGCCGGAACCATAATAGTTACCAGAAGACAGGCACAGGAGGTCCACTGGGATGTCCCACTTGAGAAGTGACAATATGACAGGGGAGAAAAACATACACTCATCATCAGGATGAGCAGTTACGATCAAAATCGGTCCTCGAAGGTTTGGACGTCTCTGACTCAGTCCAAAATAGACCATCCCTAATCCAGAGAAAAATACCAGCGTCACAATCAGAATCATCACAAACAGCAACCCAACTACAAAATCAGCACGTTCTATCAAAATGTGATAACTATAGCGTAACTAGGTCACCTTGTTGTTGATGTGGATAAAGAGAAATGTAGGTGAAGAGAGTAGCATTAATCCAGCCAGTGAGTAAAAGGAACTGTGTTTAAAATAGTTTAAAAATTCGGTTTGTCAAGGTTTTAATTAAATTGCTCTAAAGATTTTGCGAGATCATGGGATATCTACGGTTTTGATTAGATGAGTTAAATTTTAGTTTTTAGAATCTTGCTATTTATTTAATTAATGTAGGCCTTCTTCAAAGCAAAAGACCCATAGTGTTAAATTAATTATTTATGCTACGTACACATATTAGAGACTAGTTTGCTTACAAATTACAGTGGGCCCAGCTACCTGGCCAAATCTACTATTTTCCATTTGACAAAAGAAGATATTCATTTGAGCAAGGCCAATGCTAAAATGATCACCAGCTATTCCATCCGCCTAAGCGGCGTTCTCGGAGCTCCTATTGGTACACCTCCTACACCAGCTGTAGCGTCCCGAGGCTTTGCATAGGGTAGAAGAAAGCATAAGTGAGGTTGAATACATGTATTCCAAAGACAACAGGAGAACTGGGCTTGGGCGTGGACCGAAGGCCAGCTCACGTTTATAGGTGCCAGACAAATTCTAAGGTGACCGCCATACGTCCTGCGGTAACATAAACAAAGCATTGCACTGTCCCTCTCTTCTTTTAAGCGGCGTCCTTTGCGCTCTCCCTTGGCGCACTTCCCGCACCAGCCATCACAACATATTCGGTAATACATGAAAACACCCACAAGCCAACTCCGATAGCTTCAACTGGACTGAAACCCAGCCAACTTGTGCAAGGGCAAGACGGGTCCCAAAGTATCAACCATAATTATGGCGCCCATATAAAAAACGTACTGTAATGACAGTCCTCAAACCTACTTATTTTTCGTATCTGTTGTTTACTACTACAAAAATCCAAAAGACTTTATACTTAGCGTACATTGCTGTTGTGATGGCTGGGTCGGGATGTGTACTAAGGGGAACATCAAGGATATCTTACAAAAGAAGAGGAGCAGTGTAATACGGTATGTGACTACTTGATTTCAGAATACCCTAAGATTCGCCTAACCGTTTTATGCGTGGACTGATCTTCGGGACAAACTCAGGCTTGATCTCTTTACTATCTCTTGGATAAATGCAATCACCTCAACTTGATGCCTTCTTCTACCTTGGGGAAGAAATTGTGCAATGCTTTTTTTATTTGACCATGTCATTTCTGGCATATACTTTAGTATCCCTATGGTCCATATACGCGAGGGCTGGACCTCCAGCCGAGCCAAGTTGTGTCTCTTTCTTTTCATTAATATATGTGTTTAGCCCAAATTAATGCTTCCTTTCACCTGGCCTGACGTTTTAGGGAGCTAAAAATTGAGCATTAAAATGGAGCGAACACCAGCCTACGCGTACAGGATCATACAAAGTGGCGAAAGTGACCACCAGTCATACAGGTAGCCTACTAAGAAAGGTATTCAGGTGTAGCCACTCCAGTAGCCGCTATCTATTATAGCAATGAAATACTCCATATATTGCATTGTTCCTCTCTCCCCTCAAGTGGCGTTCCCAAAGCTCTCCTTGATAAAACCATGTTTTCACCCACCAGAAAGTTACACACACGAACCACTCTCACAAATCGTCAACTCTCATGCATCTGAAGTGAAATACTGCAGCTCCAACCGCATCTGCAGTTTCGTTCGCCTAGCCACCATGTGGGTCTACAGTCAAACGTTGGAACAGTGGACTAAAGGCAAATCTGTACTAAGGAGTAGGAAGTAGGAGTAGTCGTGCATCGGTAGAGGTTAGCGTACTTTCACATTTTTTGACACCCATACGCAGATGCGGTGGTGAAAACTGCAAAGCAAGACTTTCCCGAACGGTTCACTGCAAATGCCGCCTCGGTTGTTAGCAGATTGCATGTCGAAGACGGAAATGTGGTGGACGTGGAAGGAGGACGTGATTTACAGACCTTCTGCTGTAAAAGGAGGAGGGATGCTCCCACTTGAAGTGCTGCACTTAATTCTCACTACGAGAACTTGTCTCAAAATGGTGGTGGCAAGGATAGAGGAGGTTTTGGAGTGAGTTTCGCTTCTAGCTGGAGCCACTGCAGTGTGTTGGCACTTCCTCGTAGGTGGTATGAAGTATAATGCCAGCGTAGAAAATCCGTAGTTGATAAAAGGGAAGGAGATGGGGGCTAGTAACGTTGCTCGAAGACCAGTCTCCCCGTTTGGTTGCAAGCCCACCTGGGTGACCGCAACCAGTCCCGATGTCAAGCCAGTAATTGAAGTGGTACCGTGCAGAATTATAGCTTTCTTTAGATGTGTGCCTTTTACTCTGATGTTGAACAGGCGCAACCTGTTGTTAGCTGTAGAACACAGTCCGGAGTGCAGTTGTGACTGCTGACCATGATTTTGATGGAACTAGCGTTATCGCGCCAGTCTGTACACTGCTCCAAATTTCGACGTTCTCCTAACTGCGAATAGCACGAAACCCGCAAAGTTAATCACGCATTCCCTGATATCGTACCCGGAAGCGTAGTCTCCAGTCTTCAAATTCCACTTCTTCAAACGGTTGCCGCGCAACCCTCTGTCTTATACACGATTAACATACAAGCCAGCTTCACAATCAAACGACAAACACTTCACCTTTTTGCCGAACAAATTCTCCACTGTCATTAGCTACTGCCACAGAAGTTGGTCCGACTCTCTTTCGTAAGGACGGAATATTAGCGCGTATTCTGGGTAGTGCTACAGACAAGCAACATCAAACTACCTTCTGCAATTAGGAGCTGTTCCAATTGATTTAAATTTGGTAGTTTCGGCAATGTGAAAAATCAAGCGCAGCAGGAGCGTTCTGATCTGCTGATGACCCTCAAAGTGAGAAGCCAACTAAGAGGTACCACCAATTCCCTTCTCCCCCTTAATTTCGCCGATGAATCTTGTGAACTGTGATTGAGGGTGGTCCACATTGTGCAAGTTCATCATCAGACGGCATCATAAACCACCACAGGGCCAAAGGTCTCCCTGGGGTAAGCCATATGATAAGCCAAGAGTTGGACGGCTGATAAAAGCGGAAGTAAACTCCACAGAGTACAACTCACCAAGTGATTGCTCAGCCCAGAAGCGGTATCCGCTGCACTAAATTTAACACCAGTGGAGATCTCAACAACATACAAACTATGCGATCCTCAATAAGGCAGCTTTAAAATGCAGCCTCAATAGCTCTCACCCTTCAACGCTACAAGAGCCTCCTTTCCCACATCAAATCAGTAGACCGATATTACAAATCCAAAGAAATCATAACCATAATTACGGAACCAAAGTAAAAAAGAGGAATAGTTACAAAACTCATACATGCATATACAGGTAAACCTAAAAAGTCATGCGTAGGACTAAACTTGATTATAAGGCCCAGCTGCTAGAAGGAGATAAGGATGCGCAAACCGCACAGCCAAGACGGCAGTCTTGCGCGTGAAGAAAGCATCTTGGAGACAGGTGCGCGAGACTTCGTAACCGCCAACCACACCATAGTAGGGATCAGCCTCCTCCCCCCGCCCGACAGCGCCGCCACTGGCGCGCGAGTCGTCTCGCGACGCACTGTGCACGCTGAGGAGGGAGGTGGCACTTTCGTTCTCCACCGTCCCCCGCGCCACCCCACTCATGCCCACATTCCATATCCTTAGCGCTCCCTCTAGGCCCCCCGTGGCCAAGCGGCCGCCATCAGGACAGAAAGTGAGGCTCACCACTGGCGCCGTAAGCAGTTGATCAGTCGCGGCCTCACCAGCAGAGCCGGTAACCGCAGTGACAGCATTTTTGGAACAACCAGATGTAGAGCTGTAGCCCCCAAGCTGACCAATCTGTGCTCCGCTCCCAAGATCCCACAGGCATGTAGCCCCACACCAACCACCTGATGCAAGGTATCGACCGCAAGGCGAGAAGGTCAAGCACTGTACGGAGCCCTGAAAGCAAAATCCCAACAGTGAAATTTATTGAAACGACAGCAAATTCAACAACGCTCAATCCAGAACGCTCACAAGTGATAGAGCACTTTCCCCTAACATATGTCCTAGAAACTCTTCAAGTAGCTCATTTTCAACCATTTCGTGGACGAGTTTAGTTCTGAAATTACAGTTGCAAACGCAATAGTTGACAAAATTAATGTAGGCAAATGGAACAATGTGATACGGTTAGTAGGAACTCTCACTAACGCATCAATAACACCAAATATAATGATAACAGTACTTTGTGACCAGTGTATAGCCGCACGCCCTTTCCGGAGCGGACATCGAATAGTCGAACGGCCCTGTCCGCACTACCGGTGCCCAGATAATTGATGTTTGGATGAAACGCGACCGCAGTCACATCAGCCTTGTGACCAGTGAAAATGCGGAGTGGTTGGGGTGCGTGATCACAGGCGTATAGCCGAGCAGTCCGATCTGAGCTGCCTGTGACTATATAGTGCCCATAAGCTGGAGCCCAATCCACACACCTGCAATAAGGATGTTTAAAATGTTCAAGGTTCACACAATATCTTGGAGACTTAATGCTTGGTAGTTCAAAAGGCCAGAGGCAAACTGTCAACCTAAGTGCGGTGGTAAATAGCAATGGAACGCATACCAGATAGGCAGAACGTGGTCACGCCATACGGAGAGGGCGCCTCCCCAAATAGTAGTAGACCATAGACGCAGCGACCCGTCTGCACTTGTGGAGGCGATTAATTGACCATCGGGCGAAAAAGCCACTCCATGAACCGTCAATTGATGGCCAATTAGATCACGGGACGGCTGAGCTTCACTGAGGTCAGGTGATATGTGATACTTCCATTAAGCAACGGATCATACAGAAAATCCACACTGACCACTTAAGATACTCAAAAATTATCGACCACTGTCCTACAAACTAAACATGAAAACTAGGAAGGTAGAAAAACGACGTTTCCTCATAGCTTAGTCAAGGAGAACAGTGTACAAATCCCGCCTTATTGGAGATACGAACGTCAAGTCATAGACCGCATAGTGAATGGAAGATTGCCTAGCTTGGAAATAAGTAATTAGCTTACACTGCAAAAATTAACTATCGTAAATACATGCAAGCTTAGACTTCATGTAGGCACAAAACTAGGGTGAAGTGCGCCATTTGATGCGATATGATTGATAAAAGGTATCTTAATACTTCCCAATTAGGGCAAACCGTAGCAAGGGTGTCGGTCACATACCCGTTTCCATCGTGAAGCATCTTGCTCTTTATTCTAGCATCGTTCATATCGAGGGCTTCCAATTTGTCTGGTGGAAGCATTTGACGCAGCGACTCCGCACCAAGGGCCCATATGCGAATCCGACCGGAGCCCAACCCTGCTGCTAGCATACCGAGGTCCTCTGAAAAAGTCATGCAAGACACACCGCCACGCCGGATAGCCAGCGCCGACTCGCCCGGTTGTGCATTGCACACTGTATAAAGGAGGGCTGAGGGACGCGGGTTAGATTCCCTTTGCAAAAGACTCCGCAGAATCTGCGCCGTCTCTTGGCGAAGTGTTCTCTGCTGATCCAAGTAGGTATCAGATATCTGTTTCAAGAAACAAAGCTTATTGTACGAAAGTCTTGCCTTGACTAAACCAAAAAATTATCTCAACCAGATCACAATTCACATGTCTTGATAAATTAATAAAAGGGAATGCAAACATTTTGATGAAACCTTACCCTGGGGATGGGAATTCTGTCGAGTGCAGGTGATTTTGAGTGTGTCTTTGAATCATCGTACTTTGAAGGCTTATGACCAAATGAATTGTTTTCTTTTTTCTTTTTCTTCTTAGGAGTTAATTCGGAATCGACATCTAAAGGTTATAGAATCCCAAATGACATGACTATCTCAAAAGAAATATCAAAAAAATAAATGAAGAACCTTGAGTGCCAGTCATTGCGTCGCTCACTTCCGATGGGTCCAATTCAACGTTAGGATCCTTTAAGAGACCGTAGAATACAACCTCTGAGTTAGCATCGCGTCGCGACTCCCCGAAAATCGCTCCCCGACGACAGCATAGTTGAATTTTCGATCGTGGAGGTCCATCAACAACTTAAGCCCAATAATAATATAATCATCTAAAACCTTCAATATGCAGCTGATCCTTAATAATGCTTTGAATCACAGCAAGCCCCTTTTCGCGAATAAAACGACGAAATAAAGCAAATGATAGCGAAGCAATACTAATAGAAAAGTCCGATCCTCGAAACGTCTCAACTATTGGGTTTGTAAATAGATGATTCGGCTCGGTAATGCTAGCAAGAGCCTGTATGTCTTCCTGATAAAAATCCTCCTGAAACCGCCTATATTTCGTCATTAATTCTGCAGCTAAAACTAATTTCGACAATAGCAACACACAAGTACCTTCATTGGGATAATTTCCACTTACGAGACGCATGTAAAGTTGAACAAATATAGGATAGAGAAGACCCGATAGTTCAAGCTACTAGGTTTGAAAAGTTGTTGCACACTAACCCTGTGCTGGTAAGTACATCCATCGATAAAGCTCAAGACCTGCTCGTAGGCAAAAGCGAAAGATTGAGGGTCATCAGGTGAGTCCCTAGACCGAAAATAAGCCTAGCAATTGGGGATTCCCATGAGCCATGAGAACAAAATACGCTGGTGCGCAAACTTCGTCATAAACGAAACCATTAAGAATAAAAATATTGGAATCATATGCCAACGCACGCCTTGAACTCCAAAAACTCGTCTGCAACACTGCTGTCCGTCAACCCAGCTTCTTTTTTTAAGGCAGCCTCAGACTCCTACAAACCACGTTACCGCGATGACGAGATACCCTGAAGTTGTGTTTTTGTAGTGTCTTAAGCGCCTGCAAAACTTCAGCCTCAATGGTAGCACTCATCGAGAAAAAACGAAATTCACATCAACAAAGGGTAAAACAAATCATTTATCGCCAAAATTTTCTCATGAATTTAAACAAAGCGAAAGATTTAAATATATCAAGAGTAATTATATGTCTTATAGAAAACGTTGCATTAAAAGCTACGCAGAGCACGAATCAGTTGAACAAAACATTGCATGTGGAAATTGAGAACCAGTTTGTTTAAAGTGAGCTGCTGAACCAAAGCCACATATATGCTCTCGGCCTTTAGACTGAAAAGTAAAAACTGTAATTGTAATACTTGATGTTTGTGTAGCTTCCCGAGGCTTCATATAGGGTAGAAGAAGGCATAAGTGAGGTTGAATACATGTATTTTGAAGACATCAGAGCAAAAGGGGTCTACGCGTAGCCCAAAAGGCAGCCCATGTGTACAGGGGCCAGACTAGTTTGTTTAGGTGGACTTTTATAGAAGAGAGGTGGAAACCAGTTGGGAACACAAATCACATGGTTGAAGATGGTGAGGAGTCCCTCTCCACTCGATATCTCTTACTCAGCTCATCTGCATCCCAATCTTCATTCTTCCTAAAACAGATTCCAAAAAATTATCTGCTACTAACTGTCTCTTGAATTCTGTGGTTCTAGAGCCAGAGGGTTGGTAGGCAGCACTTACACAGACAATTTCTAAAGTGATGGCCAAACGTCAGGCAGTCACATAAATAAAGCATTACATCTGGATGTTACTGTAAGATTCGCTAGGCCTTTGCATTCATGGAATGTCCTTCATGTCAAGTCAGAATTGATCACTTTTCTCGCCCTAGGATGTATGCATTCACTTTAATTTACTGCATCCTTCTGCGTACCAAGAAGTCTTCGGACGCCGAGGCGATTTCTTAGTATAGTTACTGTCCGCCTAGCCTAATGCACTTGAACCACGGACATCAACAGAGGATTAATTGCAATAGATTTGTTACGCATTGATTGTATAAAGAACTGGGATAACAGTACAGATGATCTGAATGACAGATATTACACTGGGAGTGATTTTTCACGTTCCCCATGCACGGGAATCGCGTTCGATTTTCGTTCCCGGCCCTTTCCTATTAATGTCAGCTTAGGATGCTGTAATTAATTTAAAATCAATAATGCTGTATGCTGTGTCAAAAACTTTATTACCTTGCCATTTCTCGATTCGGTAATAAATGACTAATGGGTTTTGTGTAATGTCTAACTACTTTTAATGAGCTGTCTTACTTTCAAGAACTATATTGACCTTGCTTTTGGATTTTTCTTGGTGGCTCTTCTCCCGGAGAAGTCAGTTACGGCATTGTGGAGATGGTAGGGTAGTGGGTTCTCTTTTATATAGTCACCATATCCTATTTATATTCAAAAATTCTTCTTTAAATGGTAAATCGGTGTGGTCGTGTATGAAACATACATGCACTCGACACTCAGTTCAATTTCTTGTTCTAGTTGCGATTAATTCTAGGAATGAGTTTTGTTCATTCTTATTTCTATTTCAACGTCAAATTTTTTAGGCCTCACAGGTCGAGAGTGAAGTCTTACTTCAATTTCCTTTACACTACTTCTGTCGCTCCGGTGATGCGACTGGGTTGCAACAATGTCTTATAAAAACCAGTCTCAGCCCGTTTGATTTTGATTCGCTTAACTATTGGACGCCTGCACATTGGGCTGTGTCGACAAATCAAGTATTTTGGATGTTGTATAATCTACTTCTTAAATAGTATGATTGTCTCATGATTCTGGCCCCATTTCGAGCTCTTGACGTGGCAGCTCATCTTTCCCTTACGACTCCATTACATGTTGCCGCAGAAATGGGCTTTGAAGATTGCTTGCTTATGCTTATAAGGAATGGGGCTCGGATCAACTTTCAGGACTCCAGTGGAGATACTCCTCTTCACAAAGCTGCAAGACATGGGCATATTGGTTGCTTGAAGATGCTACTTGAGGCCGGTGCTTGTGCAGAGTAAGAGATTGCTCACTATTTCAAAGCTTTAGCACCCGAAATTTCTATAAGCGGACGGCATCTGAGGTAGCTGCGATTAATGGGCATTTCACGTTTGCTTCATTGTTGAATGAGGCGCCTCGTATCAGGAAACGGGAAAATAATTGCCCCTCAAATGTTTCCATATTGCGCAACAATAATGTGTTTGCATGTAAGCGGTCAAGAGATAGTCTTGCCTCGGTGGGCGCTCTTGACGGAGACCTTTCTGATAAACGACTGCGGTTTTCGGGTAAGTGTTACTCCCTTTTTTTGAGTCCGTATGCGCGTTCTTGAATGGAGGCGCACAGTTCATCTCTAGATGCCGGCGTAACAGCGGTATGTCAACCCTGTATAGTAGTTTGAAAGTAGTTGTCTCTGAGTGGAGTTGAATGAGTAGGTACGAGTCCTCGGACTTTAACTTAGTCAGTGTTGTAAATGGATCCCACGGAATTAATGGTAGGCTGATAGGAAGTTCGATTTCCATAGGTTGTTGCTAATTTAAAATAAGGGCTCTCTTGGTACTACATCTGCCTTGGTTGTTCAGTCGTAGTGTTTTAAACCATCCTCATTTTTTTTCACCCTGTGGCATGAGAGTGGTAGTCTGAATTCCATGGAAAAATTATTTTCAGAAGAATGGCTTACACAGGTTGGAATGCGAAATGAAATACCGATGCGGTGGAATCCAGTGGACATTCAGCTGAGCTTTCGAGAGTTATCACAAAATTAGTTTATGAATGCTTGCTGTACCAATTTCGACCATTCTTATGGTCAATTAGGAACCGTCCGGTTTCATGCTTATCAGCGATATTGTTGGATATTTTAGTGTGGAAATTCGTCAGTGAGACGTGCGTCTTATAATGTGCGGAATTTGGGGTGATTTTACTTATAATATTACGACCTAACGGGCTTATTGGCCATTGATTGCTTCATCCGTGTACATGCTGGTAGAATCTAGTCGTACGGATGAGTCATGTAAAGTGGTATTGAGTTCCCTAATAATCGGGAATTTTTTATTAGAGAATCATTTGTGGATGTTATTACAAAATGAGTTTATTCCGTGGTAACCTTTTACAACACTGGCTGTTAAGTACTTTAGGAGAGGTGTTTATTGCGTCTGTACTTTTGCACCATTACTTTTATTCTCTGTATTTTAACAGCATTTTGAGCTCAGCGACTTGCAGGCGCTAATTTCGGCAGGATCGACAAGGCTTTCGTCTCATGTTCGCATTCTAACTTGGAAATCAAGCTCGCAAAATTAGTGAATCAAGTAGGATAGCACTGTGTTTTTAGCGATTAGGTGCTCCCTGTGTTTAACTAGATTCTCCATATGAGCATTTATCTCGTCATGAAAGATCAACTCGGATTTTTCCGATTTCGTTCACCGACTCAATTTTATTAGTTTCGTTGTGAAAGCTTCACTGCAACCTCTAGAGATGACGTTTCGTTCGGACTTCTCGGTTCGTTAGCTTAGAAGGCTAACTGCAACCTTCTTGACATTAATGTGGGTTCAAATGAAGAATAAGTGTTTGACGTGACTCCATCCAAATGAGCCCCATCTAGCTGTTTCTGGGAGGAACTGTTTCGGTTTGTGATTCGCATTTGCACCTTGAAGTACAGACATTTTGGCCAAGGAAGCTCCCTTCACCGACACTCCGTTTGTGATAACGAGGAGTGTGAGGGCTGGTGATGCTGCTTAATTCGGAGAATTACTGCTGGCTCAAAGGCAATCGATATGGATAGACTATCATGGTATTTTAAGTCAAGATTTCTTGAACTGGCAGCATCAGTATCGTTTGGCTAAGTGAGCAGATACATGAAGAAAGTTAGTCCCATGCAGAAAACTGGGTCATCTTCTCCAAGATGTGCGGCCCATAATTTGCTCCTCGAGATTGTACGTCCATTGACGTCTGGACCGATCCACATGGTCGATTCAAGTATGGTGAGGAATGCCCAGATTTTCATCGCAGAGTATTGAAGTTCTGGACAAGATTAAATAGATCCATACAATGTGAGTTTTCTTCGTTTCTCAGTATTTACTCTGAGATAAGTGTGATGGAGAATCTGGTTTTACACCTTGGAACTTCTTTCGTTTAAGCCATAGCTGGGCATGAGTCATCTGCGTTTTCGGTTTGCAAAATTTTGGCTCAGTTCTCATAGCTCATGTGGATTTTCTCCCATAAAACTTGCTCTAGAAGGATAACTTTACTTTATTTCACAATATTGGTCTATTATTTTTCTGCAAAGCTTTGGCTCATGGTAGTCTGTCAACTGGTTGGTTGGTGAGTGAGTAGGTTTACCGATGCCTTTGCCGCTAAATATCATCACAACAACAACGTATGGTAAATGAAGTAGGGACATTTATTGGCTTCAAGTTTACTCTGTTATTTTTTGGCACTGAAATTGGTCTGTCATTTGGTCGTCTGGCACTGGAAGCTTCATGTGTGCAAAAGTACTGAGGTCCGGGCTTGCGAAGTCATACATAACTATTGAGTTACTCGAGCGTATCCTGAAATCAACTGCTGTGAATGGGCATCGCACAGACTTTGTCGTAGATCTAAATTTATTGACATTCACTACTTAACTTACTCAAATAAACTTACATCTGGAACCGTAGGTCTTTATTACGCTTTCCGTATTCTCATGCTTTTTCACAAGTCCTTATTATTCGTAAGTACTGGTTGGCTAGGCAAGTGTATGGCCACTTAAGTTTTCCGGTAATTCTTCAGAGCACAAATACATTGGCTTATCACTAGTTCAGCGATTTATTGTGGCTGTCTTCGTGCGCGAAACTAGGAAACTCATTTTGATGAAAACATGATTGCTGATAAGGTTATTGGTTACAAAAACATTTATGCAAATATAGCGATTTATTCGGATATCATTGTCGGTGCTGCCTTGAGGACGTTCTCCATCGATGTGGCATTTCGATGACATCAGTGTGCCGCCTGCCGATAATCAATACTGTTGATTTTCTCTTTCCACTACAATACGATACTACCAAGTGGTTTGAAGTTTGGTGCTGTTTCAAAATGGATTGCACCACGCGGCCTATCCCACGTCGAGTTAATGTACATTGGATTGTGATCAGTAAGCAATTTTATGTCGTCGAGACCATGTCTAACAAAAGATGCTCCCAGATACCTTCTTATTGCTCAACTCCCAGTGCGTAGTTACCAGTTGGTTTAGGGAATGCTTTGCGGCTAGTATCTCCGTTCACTGCGACTGTACGACAATTTACTTATTAACCTCACCGCCCTTTGTCTAGGTCCTTCTACGCGTCCTTTGCTTCTACCTAGATATTACTTCAAACAAATGTATTTGTGCGTGTTATCGGTGGCAACTTTTGCCCGTCAAAGAAGCATTAGTATAATTTCCGTTCCTGATTCATAGCATAAGCTCCGAATCCTGTTACTCAAGCATAGATCTTTTGTAAGCTTGAAATATCCGCTGCTGCTTTCGGGCCTTGCTGAGCACTGTGTATGCTGGAAATGCGCGTGAGTGGTCGAGTGAACTCTCTGTTTTGGAAGACGGCGATTAGAGGCTACTTTTTGACTGCTTTGAATTAATTTGGCACGAAAGCCTAGCACATATGCTAACATTGTTTCTGAATCATCAAATTCCAGTTTTTCGATAAGTAAAAATGCTTTCAGTTTATTGGTTCACGTACCTTGATGATTCTCAAATTACCGCTACCGTTCATTACTGTATGCGATAGAAGAGCCTTGAAATTTTGCAAACCGAAAATTTAGTCTTTTTAGCTTCGTGTTTCAATGTAGCCAGTGGCATAGTTTACAAGGGTACCGATTGTTACGCACGGCTCTAATGCATAAATTTGTTTTCTTTATTACTTACGCTTGTGCACATATTTATCATTTTTTTAAAGTAATGCAACAAATGCATCGTTCAGTCAAGGTTTAATATGCTGTGGCGTAGGTCGACTTAACTGGAAACCGCAAATTCAAGCGTTTTGAAATAATTTTGTAACTTATTGACTGATTGTGGTTGCTGTTTTTTTTGGCGGGAATGCGAGCGAATCAAAAGTTGACATAAGCAGTTTAATGCTTTGCCAGGGGCACAATGGCTTGTTCGTTGGGTGACTATATGGGAATTTTAGGGGCTGAATGAAACTATCAAAGCATGCTCCGACGTGTTTTTCCGTTATCCTATGCGTGAGGATGCCAGATTAAATTTGTAATATGATGTTAAATATAAGGTGACCCGCCGAACACAAGGGAATATAAACTTACGAAGCAATGCCTACTAGAACAATTATGAAAGCTTACACTGGGCGACACCGTTTGATGGATTTTTATAGCAACAATTAATAGAAGTTTGTGTAGTTTCTTGCTGTTGCGCTTCACTTTCACTGTCCATTAAGGTGCTTTTTTGCAAATAGTTACATACCATTAGCACAGAATCGCATGGTTGGTACAAATTCGTACCAATTCAATCCCGTTTGCTGCACGGGCCTTGCATTTATCATTACATTAATTAATCTCAACATTCAAGCTCACCTTCGTAACCACTTCAGTTGGCGTATAGCGATGCATTGCAGGTTAATGAGGAAACTGTCTATACTACTACTTATAAGAAACAATTTTGCGATCCGTTCCTCTTGTGCATCTGATTGACCAATCAAACCTGCTGGAACCTGGCCAGTACCAACGTAGGTGTAGCTTTATTTTGGGAAAAGTGTGCTTTGAAGCGCTGCATGCTCCTCGATGTTTGGGTTTTAAGTACATTTTGGATGTTGTAACTGAACAAGTTTAGAGTTACATGTTTAACTCGAATATGAACGATGCATTTGTTTCATGGGTATGCATGAGCAGTGACACCTTACCAAACTTTTCTTCAGCTCACACTAGTCTTTCAAAATTGGTTGTGCGATAAATGTAGTCAAACGACCTTTCGAAGAATGTCAGCTTTCATGAAAAGATATGGCAAGTTTCATCGCGTGCTTTTTCCATATCGCTGGCCAATCACGAGTGTGCGGCAGGTATCAGTGACGTTGCATCTTTTTTCCCCATTTCGTGTCCTCGGAAAGCAAACAGCACCAGACAATTCCAAAAGAGATGCCTCGGCTGCTGCTGATGATGATGATCCATTTTACCTGTGCGACTACAAAACGAGTGCTGAAATTTCACCAGCTTCCACAACCATCACCTACCGTATCTCGTACAAGCCTCGCCAACTACACCTTATTGATTGGTTGAGAAGGTTGGCTCAAGGATGCTTTCATGGAGTCAGTACGGCGCTATCTGGCGCTGGTAAGAAAGCTGGTAGTAACCACCCCCGAACAATATGCCAGAACCAATTTTTCAACGAAGCACACACAATCACAACTATTCCAGCTGCTCCGCCCATTTTCAAACCTTTTCATTCTCGTGCTGGTGCTGCAGTATTTCCCTCCCACTTCCCTCTTCTTCTCTGGTTTTGGTTGATAGGATTTTTTGAAGCCATTCGACCTCTCCACGTTCACTCTTACTTCAAAGCAAATTTCACTAGGAGGCACCTGCCAAACCTTTTCGTCGATGAGAAACTAGATTCACGAGCTTCGTGTTCCCTTTATGCCATTCTGATGCTAAATTTATCCACTATTGTTGTTAGTGTTTTTCGTCTAGGAGTAAAGAATTTGGGCATCAGACTCGCACTTTAGCATCGCTTATTACGAGTTATGCTTTTCAGTGGTCAGGTACGAGTTTGGATCTGCTTCTTGGAATCTATGTTGACAAATTTCTAGTATGTAGAATCATGTTTTCAGTTTCTTGGGCTACGTGGATACACATAGACTTGGAAGCTAATGGAATATTCGAATGCTTTCTGTTCCTTCTTGTAGGACTTTCAGCCACATATGAAAATCATGTTCTAGGCGATGAGCTTTCTGTTCGACCATGATCTTCGTTTGCATGATTTGCTTTGCTGAAGTGTCACCTACTCTACTCCCTCCTTTAGATGTTTTTTTGTGACAGTAAAGCGTTGCTGTGCGCGTGGAAGGAGTGTTCAAGGAGTAGCACTTACGTTAGATTACGTTTGATTCCGCGATTCCATTATTGCAGTTAGGGACCGTTTTTGTCTGACTTGGGTAATCCTATGCACAAAATGTTGATCCTAAGACCTCCACGCCTGGGAGTTGCATCAACGCATGCACAGAAATGGTTATAAGTGATACAAATTTAGTGGTTCGAACTTGCGTATCAGTTAAGCACCGTTTCTTTATTTGACGTAATAGTAGACGTAATGTTGGACCTCATTTAAGTTCTGCGACCTATCAGGTTGTAGCGTCCTTAGTTTTGGCCATCTAGGGAGGTTCAATTCAGATGCAATGGTGAATTGATGTTTGATGCATCAGTTGCTTTTGGTTGTGCAGTAACTTTTTGAAGTCCTAAGATTTTGTTAGTGGCGTAGCGTTCTCCTTCTCTATGCTTTCAACTTTCTGTTCACTCCTTGCTTCTTGATCGTCTGCTCTTCGTACAAGCCTGTCACAATTTATTTACCATTTGAAATATATTGGCCAAATACCATCTTGAAAACACCATGCCATCCGAACTTCCTGCTTCCTTTTGGCAATATTAGTCTAACCACTCCATATCCAAAGGAATGCTTATGCCGTTACAAGGATTCAATGCGACAATCGGAAACAATTTTGTTTAAAAGTAAACTCCAGTAGCATTAATTATGGTAGCTTCAGATGTACTTAAAGGATACCCAGTGCTGAAACTCAAGTAGATTCCATCCGAGTCCTTGTTGTTACATTCCCACTTGTACTTGTGATCCTCCAATACGCCACATTTGTAGGCCTTTGTTTAGCGGAAATCGCTACAAGTAAATACATCCTCCTACATCGAACACTGTTATTATCGTGTTTGGCCTTCCGGAAGCAGGTTTTCTGATGCCATAGTGCTGTTCCCTGGTAGCACTATGTACTGCGCACTTTTTTTTACTATTTCCCAGATGATAAGGAATTCACTACCCTCATAACCCTTTTCGCCAACCAGCGGCACCAGTCACGCTCCTTACAAGTTCCTGTCATCTGCGTGGGTCTGGGTGATGCCTGTTTTACTTGTTCGTTCCACGGATCAATTGACACACTCTGTTTCCCCTCGTTGCCTCTTCACAGATCCCGTGTTCCAAATTGCTGCGGATATGGTGGGGCAGGGCGGACACAAGCTCTGGCAGAACGAGGTTCAATCGAGTATCTTCGAGCATGCTGCTCAATTACGCATGACTGACGTCTACGAAGAATTGTACAACTCGCGCTACGCAAACTCAATGAACTAGATCACCCATGCGCACATACCCACGCACTTACATCATCCCCTTTCGACTTCACACTACTAGTATACGTGCGCTCGTGCTCATAATTACCCACCTCTTCTAATTTATGCCAATTGACAATGTCGTTACATCCGCAAAACCATACTGTACAGTCATTCGGATGTCTGGTTGTAATGTGGTTTAACCCTACGCACTTCGGTTTTTATTGGTTGTCATTCTATCAAACGACGTCGATTTGCAAGGCACCTCTTCTTGTCAACTGGGTTAGACGTTTATGCTGTTGTTTGGTCCGCCTCAGTGAACCAAGGAATGTTATGAATGTGGTACATTTTAAAACTTCAGTTTTTCATGTTTTCTCTTGAGGGACGCCAAAAAACCTATCGTCAAGACCGTAAAATCCATATCATATGTCTACCTTGGCTCTCTTTAGTTACCACCTACGTTGGACGCCACGTGTATCAGTTCGATGCACCGCGGTAAACTTTCTCTAATGGCCGTAAGTGGGTAGGTGTGCCGCCGTCATTGATTCACCGGTCTCGCCCCACTTTCTTTGGATTCATGATGTGTGAAATTAGTTTCGAAAACATTAAGTAATTATCTTGAGGGCGATCGAAGGCGCAGTCGATCTTTCATGTTTCAGATGAATCCCAAGTATTTTAGCATTTTCAACAAAGTCGTTGCTTAATGCAGACGGTTGTACTTCAATTTGTCATATTTCTATTGAATTCTACTTCACTATTTCATAGAGTACGTTTACAGTGACCTGTGCCAAACTTGAGCATCGCGGCAGCTATTGTGCTTGTTTGGCATGTGAAAAGGGTGAGTTCATTGCGTTGCCGACTGCGCTAGTTGTTACCCATTCATTACGGTCAGTCTCGAAAAGGCAATGGTCATTCCCGACCTACTTTGCTAGGCTTAACGGCTAGATTATAGTAGAATTTCATTTCATACAACATATACTTTGGAATTTCGTTCAAAGCACTAGAACTCGTTTTTAGCGCTGAGAATTTTTGCTAACTAGGCGAATAGCTCCTTTTAACTTAAAAACGAAAATGGGACGCGATTTTACCCACCTCAACCCTACTTTCTTTACTTCGAATAAGTAATTTAGCTGAACGATTTTTTTGTGATTTCCATTCGAATGTCAAGTTCTATTTTATAGTGGTTGCAAGTGGCGGAAGAGTTTGCTGCACCCCAAAAGTTTGTACTAACGCTTTCGGGATGCAAGAGAAAACCTGCTCTACGACCTGTCTAATCATGATTGCTTCTTTTGCGCCACATTTTCGCAAATTTCTTCGTCGAAGCAAGAATTTAGATATACATTTTCTACAATCATAGACATCACAGTTAATATTCATCAGCAAAATCGCCTCTTGATAGATAGCGTAGCTCATTTTAGCACGTTTCCAGAATTAACTGTTTAACTGCTTTTAATTAAAACTTCTCTGTGATAGTAAATACCTAATTTTAGGAAGTTTGAAACGGAAACGCGTTTTCTGTATTGCTCCACGACACTGGCAGTCAACCGATCGTACGTACCACTCTTCGCCTTGGGAGTTCCCGATGTCATATTAAAGAAAAGCGTATGTACCGGAGGCTGTGCTAAGCTAAACTGGACCACCAATGGGAGCATGGCATCGCATCATGGAGGCTTCCAAAAAGGCTGTCATTATTTGTCCGTAATAATGCCCAAGTGTAAAACGGCACAACTATTGCCTATTCAATGCCCACTTTTCCCAACCTTTTCATAGATGCAAACCATAAGCTGCTCCAAAAATAACGTACAAGAGGCGAAGAAATCTGTTCAGATTGCAATGGAGCACATACTCTCAATGGGTGTAAAGATACGGTTGCGATTGACTTATCATAATTGGCTCTACGCATGAAGTAGCAATTTCGGAAATGAGGAGGTCGGAGAACCACACGGTTGTCGATTACTGATCGAACAGTCGACTCGACTTTTCCACTCCTCTGTGGAAGGACCGCTTCTGGTATTGCAATACCTCGGTCCTCCATATGACTGCTTCGATTTTGCAGGCATTTGAGTTTGGTTCTCTTAGTATATAAAATGTCATCTCCGGTCGTCGCTCGACTGCAATGTTTTAGCACTCATATGTGGTTTCCATCCTAAAAACTTTTCTGTGCTTTGCTTGTTTGTTTAAGCAAAAAGGTGTGTTTTTATAATTTTATTTTTCGCAAACCTTTAAGTTTTTAACATTTATTAATAACCTGTTAATGTTGCTTTCAGTCTGATCGAGCAGGTCTGAAGTTCTAATACTTACGTGTGACTACACAAATTGAAATTATAAAGAAGACGTGGAACATTTGCATGTTAAAAGAAATTCTGCATCTTAAAGCAGACGATGTGAATCAGAGCCACAGACTGTTAGTTTTGACAGTGATCACCTTTCCCTAGCCCACAACAGCATTCACGGAAGATAACTTTGTCACTAATTTTAAAACAGTAGCGAACTCAATCTTCACGATCTGCATGCTGCGACTTAGAAACCATAACCTGATCAACAAGAAGCTGTTTGAAGAAACACTGTACAACTTGGACTGCAAATGAGGGCATGAATACAGACTATATTTTCACTGTCAGTAACCGCTGTACAATTGCAGAAGGATGCAAGTGGGGTGGTAGCAGTCATCCATGGAAGTGGGAGGAGAGACACTGAATATCTTTGTCAGTATGTCTGGGACCGACCGCTCTTAAAGGAATGATGGTGAGGCAAAAAGAATGTTTAGTAGACGTTTCAAAAATTGCTTTCCTTCATTGGTAGTTTGGCTAATTTTCTTCCCCTTCCAATACTTAGGTTTGTGCGTGTTCATTGCGGTGTCGTATGGTTTTATGACAGCTGGGTTTTAACAAAGTAGACCGCATGACCAGTATGCAATCGCATTATTTCAGAAAACCAATGTTTGTTCACGATCAAATAGGCATCGTAGAACCGCAATCACCAATCGCTGAATGATGCCTCGGTTGGTACTACTAGTGACCGAAATAAGGACTAATCAGTTACTTACACTGCAAAATACCAAATTAGAGTCGTTTTTGAGTTCACTTACAATGGTTGCGCACTTCTAACCTAGTGCTTGAGACTTTATGACTAATAGTCGAACATTTTTAACGCATCAGTGAATAGTCAAAGGCCAAGTCCTATCTGACAAGCACAATCTTACCATTCTCACATATCAAAAACCTCCTTTAACCTATTTAGCATATTCAAGCGAAGCGAAGAAGTTTCTGTCGTTGACAGATCTAATTGTAGTAGTAATGTTTAACACTGACAACGTCAATTGTCAGCAGTTTCTGCAAACGGAAATGATGTGGAAAGTTTCTCTTCAATTTTGCACCAATCAAGGCGAACTTAATTGCTTTCCAACCAAGTAGAAG